GCGCAGTGACATGATCCGCAAATCAGAATGAGGCGTCGCCGTCCCTGAGGCTACGAACAGCGAAACTGTTGCCACGTCCGGGGGCTCTTGGGAGGCCCCGCGGAGTGGAGTCATATGCAATCCAGAAAGAAACCTCTCCGCCCCCGGTGGCTGCGAACTGCGAAACTGTCGCTGGTTTCGGTGGCTCCTCGGAGGCCCAGCAAAATGGTGCCATGGCACACGCAAATCAGAATGAGGCCTCGCCGTCCCTGGGGGCCGCGAACTGCGAAGCTGTCGCAACTTTCGAGGGCTCCCGGTGGGTCCAGCGGAGTGGTGCCATTCGCATATCGTCATGAGGCCTCGCCAACTGTCGCCACTTTCGTGGGCTCCTGGAAACCCAGCGGAGTGATGCCACGCCCAAATCAGAATGAGGCCTCGCCGTCCCTGAAGGAGCCGCGAACTGCGAAACTGTCGCCACGTGCGTGTGCCTCTGGGAGGTCCAGCGGAGTGACGTCATACGCAGATCAGAACGAGTCCTCGCTGTCCCTGGGGACTGCGAAATGCGAATCTGTCGCCACTCTCGTGAGCTTCTGAGTGGCCCAGCGACGTGACGTCCGACGCGGATTAAACTGAGTCCTCGCTGGGACGGGGGCGCAGCTGCGAAACTGTCGTCCCTTTCAGGGGCCCCTGGGAGGTCCAGCGGAGTGGTGCCACACGGAGATCGAAATGAGACCTCGCCATCCCTGCGGGCTGCGAACTGCGAAACTGGCGTCACGTTTGGGAGCTCCTGGGAAGTCTAGCGGAGTGACGTTACACGCATATCAGAATGAGACCTCGACGTCCCAGGGGGGCTGCGAAATGCGAAACTGTCGCCGCTCTCCTTGGCTTCTGGGTGGCCCAGCGGCATGACGTCCTTCGCGGATCAGAATGAGACCTCGCCGCCCCTGAGGCTTGCGAGCCACGATGCTGCAGGTGCTTTCGTGGGCTTCTGGCGGGTCCAGCGGCGTGATGATCTCCGCGGATCAGAACGAGACCTCCCCGTCCCTGGGGGCTACGAACAGCGGAACTGTCGTCACCTTCGTGGGCTCCTGGGGGCCCAGCGGCGTCACGTCCTACGCGAATTAGAATGAGGCCTGGCCGCCACTGGGGGCTGCGAGCTGCGAGCTGCGAAACTGTCCCCGATTTCATTGGCTCCTGCGACATATCAGAATGAGACCTCGCTGTCCGTGGGGGCTGCGAGCAGCGAGACGGTCGCCACTTTCGGTGGCTGCTGGTGGATCCAGCGGGGTGGCGTGATACGCGAATCAGAGTGGGACCTTGCCAGCCCTGGGGGGCTGCGATGTGCAAAACTGTCGCCGCGTTCGTGGGCTGCTGGCGGGTCCAGCGGAGTGACATGATCCGCAGATCAGAATAAGGCGTCGCCGTCACTGGGGGCTGCGAACAGCCAACCTGTTGCCACGTCCGGGGGCTCCTGGGAAGCCCAGCGGAGTGGTGTCATACGCAAATCAGAATGAGACGTCGCCGTCCCTGGGGGCTGCGAGCTGTCAAACTGTCGCTACGTTCGTGGCCCCCTCGTCATCGCTCCTCTGAGATCGTGGTCGCGTTCTTGCCGACGATATGAGTCGCAATAGTCATGGGGAACGTTTGTCTGCGGCCCCACGTTCTTTGGCGAAGCGTTCAAGGATACTGCGAAACCTTCAAGGCGTAACTTTGAAAATGAACGGTCCTCGATATAGTCGCCTCATGTGTACAACGGGTTGGGTGCGTCCCCTGGTCAGTTGCTTGTGGAGGGTCGTTTGGGACCCCCAGGGAAGCGACTCTCGGGCGTTTCTGGGACCTGTTGGGCCTTGATGGGGGCACCTTGAGCTCGAAGACAGCCCCAGAGCGCGTCAGGAAGGCCAGTATTCGCCTCTCCTCTGTGGAAGCTTCGGGGTCGCCAGGAGTGCCTCAAAGCGTCTGAGGAAGGCGCTCTTGGGGGCTTTTGGGGGCTTACTGAGGGCCTCTTGGAAGCCTCTCCGGGCATCTTGTGGCCTCCTGGGGACCTCTTGGGGCGGAGAGCTTGAAATGTCCGTTCGAGTACCCCCTCTAGGCCACTTCTTGGGGCCGTCCTGGAGCCCTTCTGGGCCGTCTTGGAGGCCTCTTGGGCCGTCTTGGGGCTCTCTAGGGCCGTCTTGGGGCCGTCTCGGGGGCCATTGAGCCGTCTTGGGGCGATGGTGGGGGCCTCTTGGGCCGTCTTGGAGCGTCGGGCAGCCGAAATGGTGAGAACCCAGAAAGACTCCCAAACCCATCGGCTAATCTATAGGTTTTGCCCCTTGGGGCCCTCTTGGGAAGCCTCTTGGAAGCCTCCTGGGGCGTCTTGGGAGCCGCTTGGGCTGCCTTGGGATCATCTTGGGCGTCTTGGACCGATCTTTGGGCTTGGATTTACTTAGGAGCGTTCTGGGGCCGTCTCGAAACCGTCTAGGTCCGTTTTGGGGCAGTCAGGAAGGCGCAGGGGGCCCTGGTCCTCCCATGCGCCGCCGTGGTCCTTGGGCGCGGCCAGGGGGCCTCGCCCCCCGGGATTTCTCTCTCTCTCTCTCTCTCTCGCTCTCTATGTGTGTACGGATGTATGCATGCATGCATGCATGCATGTATGTCTGTATGTATGCATACATGTATACAATACACCTATATGTGTGAATCTACTGCACGCTATACTATTATTTATGCTACTGCTACTGATACCCGAATTAACCGTATTCAGAACAGTTAATTCGCAACGCTACAAAATACCAATATCAATTCAAACTTATATCCTGAATTATCCACAACAGTTAGAACATAATCAAATATTTCATGGAAATATCATATATCCGCCATTTATGCGCAATATTCCCTGCTATAGATTTGTATTGTTTGCTTTTCTTGCTTTTCTTGTTTTTGAATTGTTTGCTTTTCTTGCTCGCGGAAGGCCTGATGAACGAAGGGAACCAGCCAAACTACTACTACTACTACTACTACTACTACTACTACTACTACTACTACTACTACTACTACTACGACGACGACGACGACGACGACGACGACGACGACGACGACGACGACGACGACTACTACTACTACTACTACTACTACTACCGCTACTGCTACAACTACGACGATGAGGAGAAGGAGGAGGACGGCGTTTACCGCTCCTACAAATGTTGCTTTCCTAGAGGCTCTAACTCCTAGGTAGGGTCGTACTGGGATAATGGGCACCGGCCATTGTCTGTGTCTGTATGGTGTTTCCCCTACTGGCAGGTCCCTCCCAAGAGCTCAGGCGCCGAGCGCGCTGACGCCGCACGGCGCCCAGGCGCACCAGGCCGCCAGGGGCAGCAGCCTCTCTATAGCGCGGGGAGGCCGGGCGCGCGCTGCCGGAGAGGCCATCGTGCGCGCGCGCCGCCGCCGACGACGTCGCCCGGAACTCGTCGCCGTCGTCGTGCAGGGCCTCGTCATCGTCGCCGTCGTCGCCGCCGCGGTCGTCGTCACAGGCCTTCGCCGCAGGCATGTCCGCCACCGACGGCCAAGTCGTCGTCGTCGTCGTCGTCGTCGTCGTCGTCGTCGTCGTCACAATTGTCGTCGTCGTCGTCGGCGTCGTCGTCAGCGCCCTCGTCGTCAGCGCCTTGACGTCAGCGCGTCCGTCGTCAAAACTTGTGGGATTCACCGCCGAAGACAGAGATAGGGAAGGACAGAAAAAGTACAGGAAGAGGACGGGAGACAAATTGGGGCGGGCGGGAGAGAAGGGAAAGGGGGGAACGGAGAAGGAGCAAGGACTTGGACCGAATCGAATCGAAACCTTGGGGCAAGATGTTCGCGTGATCTTGCGAAACGCATGGGAACCACCTAGCACCGCGCCAGGTAATAACCTCAGGGACGGAGGCGGGAAGGAGGGGGAGGAGGGCGAAAGGATATTAAAGAAGGGGAGAAGCATGGAGAGGCGAGCGTGGAAGGGGGAAGCGCCCATTCCTCCTGCATTCGCTTGGTTGTACCGCTCGGTGAATCGTTTGTTATTCACGAGTCCGTTGCGAATCGCCAACTAATGAGAAACGCGCCTCGGCACAATGAACCATTTTACTGGAACCAGTGGCGTGTCGGAGGAACTCGTGTGTGTATTTGTGTGCGTGTGTGCGTGTGTGCGTGTGCGTGTGTGTGTGCGTTTGTGTGAATGTGTGCGTGCGGGTGATTGTGTCTGTGGTTGCGTGCGCGTGTGTGTGTGTGTGTGTAAATTCGCTTGTGAGAAGCGAGAACGACACATGTGTGTGCGTGTGTGGGAAAACGAGAAAGAGAGATAGAGAGAGAGAGAGAGAGAAACAGAGAGAGAGAGAGAGAGCGCATGTGTATGTGTGCGTGTGAGAATTCGAATGTCCCCCCCATCCAATTCCCCCCTCTCTCTTTCGTCTGCGTGGGCCCTGAACGCCAGACCAAGCGGCCCCAGGGCGTCAACGTTGTAAGCTTTGGCAGCGCAGATGCAAGGTTTGCAGGTGGCGTGCAACAGCTGGCTCTCGCCGGGTATGTCCCCACTGTTGTACTTAATGTTCCCCCGAAGGCTTAAAACTCACAACACATATAGGGGTGTGGGGAGTGTCGTTCCCACATGATTCGTGGTGCCCGCGCGCCAAGCTCCAACATGAGCACGGATGGATTAAAGGAAACCCGTCGGGGACGAGCCCTCGCCGTGATGCAAACACAATAGCATACAATCGGCCAAAAGTCTGTTACAGCACGTTTGCTTGAAAGTGTGTCACCCCCAACGGCTATATGGATGGATGGGAGACCCCTTTCGGAATCGTGCTCTCGCCTCGGCGCCGCCATACATGTTTATCGAGGTTCAGGCGGCAAGTAGCTGTATGGATGGAGCACGACCCCCCCCCAATGTCAATGCATTTCGCCACGTTGCACGGTCGAATCGCAGTGTGGTCGCTGACACTGCTTGGAAAGCCAATTGGGCTCTCACGTGCCCGCTCCTGCACAGAAGTGTGGACAGAGGGAGGCAAGGGTCAAGGAGC